TTTCGAGAGTTCGAATCAAATTCCTTAGTGACATCATGTTAATGTAAACTAGAGAAGGGATGGTTGGTGAAAATAGCGATTTTTTCTTTTGCATGTGAAGGTAAAATTCTATCTAGTTAAGAGTTCCATTTCATAGGTAACGAGAATATTGTCCAGTATCCATCATCACGCCTTTTATACCTGAAGGGGTATCAGAGGTGCATATTACGGCACTTAATGTCACTATACCTGTGCACTATACAATGTAACACCTACTATTTATGTTATGAGTCCCGTGTAATAAATAGTTTGTGGGCCTATTGCCATATACTAGGTACAATTCCAGACTTTTTTTAAAAAACCCAACTGAAGTTTGCTCGACCCGGGAATCGAACCCAAGACCCCTTGCCCAGCAATTGCACTTGCGATCACTCGACTAACGAGGCAGTCATCGTCAATGTCCAGTATTTTCAGATAATTCGGGTTTTACACTTTTTTCTTAAATAATGTTAATTACACTTTACAGTATTGGAATCAAACTACAGAGAGATTACTTAACGCAGTCTGTCGATTGAAATTGGTTTTAAAATATTTCGGGACAGAAGAATGACAGTTTCAAATTATAAGCCGAGAGGTCTTTTTATTTCTTCTTGTTCATGTCGCAGGGACAAAGCTTGAGTGACGTGCGTCATACGTCTTACTTTGAGATGTTATGATGACCATTCAATTTATTCTTGTTGTTAATTGGTTTGTTTGACATGTCCATTACTAAACGTTACTTGGAATCTTTGGACATAACGCATAACATAACATCACGCCTATTATCCCCGAAGGGATAGGCAGAAGTGCACATTATACCACTGTACAATATAACACCCACTTTTCACTATTTATGTTATGAGTCCCATGTAATAGGGGACGAGCCTATTGCCATATTCGAATCTTTGAAATTGTTCGTATAATTGAACCATGACTATCAAGACTATTAAAGTTTGAGAAAATGTAAATATTTTAGGTGGAAACTTTGATGGAATGCAATCTGCAAAAAACAGTACAAAATGACGTTGCAATTTGTAGTTTAGAGGACCACTATGTAACCCACAGCCAACCATAGGGTAAAGGATTTGACTTCACAATTGGCACATTGGCTAGACTGCCGTGCAATTTGTAGCTGGTTTGATCCCCGCACGAAACAACTCTTTCTATGATCCACAAATTGTTTTTGGGATCTGGGTGTATTGTGCATAGGAAATTGTATGTTTCGCTACATAATCGCACCCACGACGTAGGAGAAAATCCTATTTGGGGCAGCGTTTAAAAAAATATATAACAATATTTTTTTTCTACAATAACGTTTGATATACTTAACCCTATCGCACCGTATGTAGGGTACATATTGGCTAATGTAATCAATACTGGAAATAGTTTACAGAAACCATCAAACGAACATTCCTTATTTTAACACAGTTTCATACATTTGTGAAGATCGAACCGAGATTTATATGCCATCACCTGTTTGAAAGCACGAGCCCATATTAGAAAAATGTTAATCAAACTATGTATACTTATACTTTTCTTTCATTTGTTTGTATACGTGTGAGTGGGATAGATATACTCCTGTTATGGAATAAAAGCGGGATCGTTCGGCCGGTTTTCTAAACAATTCTCTTTGAACAGGTGCACGTGTGCTTACACAAGTTATTTTTCTAACTATCGACCATTCTACACACGTATTCGACTGGTTGTTTACACGGCGCCATCTATGTGCCACATACCTATATACTTTTTGTCATAAACTCACATAACAATCCCTAATTGCTTCCCATTTAGCGCCTAATAGAGTATCCAATTAGTTTATCAACATATTCAGTGATTTTACTTTAATTGTTGCGGCACGTGCTGAGATAATTGTTTTTAAATCTAGGAACTGTGATTAGGTATAAGGTAATTAGTAAGCTCATTGTAACATTTTATTTTGTAACAGATAACGTTACATTGACCCCTTTCCTTGAGCAAAGGCATTGGCATTTTGTAAAAGTTAGTTACATTACAAAAAGGTATTATTAAAATAATGTAAATGTGCGAAAACTCGTTATTTTGATTGGTTAAGCATGTTCGGCCATTCCGCACGAAATTAATTTTCAGAATGACCTCCTACAAGGCTTTTGTTTTTTTAACTAAAATGTTGATGTTGATTCTTGTGTTTGTCAAATCCGAAGGAGTCAGTCAGTAGCTGTCAAAGATTGTGACTTGACAGCTACTGACTGACTCCTTCACATCACTCAGAGACCTTACCTTAGTACGAGTTTGTTTCACGTTTACAGTAATAACGAAACGAGTACGTGTTCGGCGCTCTGATTGGCCGGCTCCAACAAACTAACCAATCGGAGCGCCGAAGGCAGTCTCGTTTCGATTACTTTTAACGTAAAACAAACTCGTATTAAGGCCTAAGAAAGTTAATTAACCCATCGTGTGCTTAAACTTGGGACACAATGTATTTTGTATTGTGTCTCATATCGGTGCATTTAAGCGGTTTATAAAACTTAAACTTAAACTTCAGAAACCAATGTAATAAAGCAATATGGATTATTGATTTGAGTCTCCACAACGCTTCTCACACGCAAAGGTACCTAGACCTAGGTAATATTCTGTAGGATAATGTACAATGTCACACCTATTTCAGTCCAATTCTAATTTAAAGCACGTCGAACATGTCGTAGGAACAACTCAGTGACGAGAAGTAGCCACTGTAACCAACGATGAATGTGAAATGAGCATGCGTGAACACGTGGTACATAATAAACATCTTCGTGATATATTTATGCCCATTTCATTGGTGAGAATCGAGGAAATTATGTGAATAGTAAATTAATGTGTTTATATGGTTAGTAAGTGTGCCTACAACTTATAAATGAACTTTAATATCGTACTACAAAGTTCATTTTGGGAACGTTTGATTTTAACTTGTTCTTGTTTACAACTAAAACTGAAAAAAAAAACAACGCATGTCAAGTGTATAAGTATTCATATCACTGCGTCCAATTCAATCTTTACCGATTTCAAAAAAAGGAGGAGGTACTATGTACTGTAATTGCACAACAATACAAATGCAAAAATGCAACTGTATTTGCAACATAGAATGAAAAGATAATTTTACACAGTAAGGTAATGTTTATATTTGTCGATAATTTACCGTTACTACATACATTTTCAATCTTACATGCAGTATTGTTGCACAATAAATAGAACTTCAATTTACTAGGAAAACAATAAAATACTCATAAACATGCTGTAGACCATTTAAATGCTCTCAGTAAGTACCTAGGTAAATGTTTTTTCTATTTTTAAATTAAGAAACGAATAGTTTTACTCGATAGGCAATAGCTTGTTTTACACTTAGCTACTGCGAAATTGTGCTATTACAAGTCTTAAGACCAAATACAATTCATTGCTTTGTTAGCGAACGTGTTACATCGACAATATCTTATTAATGACGTCAACACGCCTAATATAGGGATCGGGATCAAAGGAGCATGGCCTTTTAATTTTTTTTTGAAGGGGTGAAAGTCATCTAATGATAGGGAGTGTCAGATTCTTACTGACTTAAAACCACCCCGTTCTTACTCCTGCACTTCGAGCCGGAGCCCCGGCAACCTGTTAGGCCTGCCGCGGCTCCGTATCAGGCATCAGCCCTACTGGCCCTATCGGTCTTGGTCTTGGAACATGGTCTGGAGTAACACATAGATTCTATTCCACGCGAGTGAAGCCGCTGGCAGAAGCTAGGAGACTAATACAATATTGAAAATCCAATAACACTTTACTCTATCATAGACTACAGTAACTCCGTACCATGACTACGTGCTTAGCTCTCAAGTTGTTGACAACTAGATAAAAAATAAACTATGCACTATAAACAAGACACCTGTATACTTTATACATCTTCCACCTGTCCATCTTCATACAATAATTCACAAAAGTTGTTCCCAAGGCGCGTGCGCAAGGAAATATATTGTAATTAAATGTCAGCGCTGTAATTAACATTTATAATGCGGTGCACAGACCAAAGGTGTTCTCTTATACGTAAAGATGAAGGGTTATGGGTATTATGGACTTTGTTTATAGGTTGTCCACTATAATCAACTTTGTGTTGAAAATTAACGTCGATAGTACGTTAATTTTGTTAATATTGTCCCGTTATTTTAAATTAAAGATGTGATGAAACGTGATTGTCCTTCGAAAACAATGATATATTGGGATATAAAAAGCTGTAATCAGAAGCTCCTCAAACACAATGGGGCATGTTGAAGGGTCACCTTAAAGTTTTTTTCATTGACGCACCTGCTGCGCCTGCGTTGACATCGACATTCCGTCGTGTGCCAAGACTCCCGGCGCTTCAGACATTTCCGTCACACCGCCCAGTTTTTCATCCTTCCACAAACAATAATTAATATTGATGACGGATCCAACCAACCTGTTAGGCGTCTTTAACCTTTTTATAAACGTCATTTCGAATCGTAAAATCAAAATAAAGGAATATTGCTCCAAATTGTTCATGTAATCGTGATCGGGTTCTATAAACATAATTTGTGCATTATAAAATTGACCCTTGTCGTTTTTAAGAGGTCTGTAACTAGCGGTGAAACAATGAGAGGCGCGATGTGGGCGCCAAGACGGTAGCGTCACGGGTCGCCGCGCGGCGCCCGCGCCGGAAGGAACCGTGGCGTGGGAACCGGCCACAACACTACGGTCTACCTACACTCCCTTATTATTCACCTGCATAATGTTTTCATAATTAGAGCACACCTATTACTGCTCTCATTCTGACGTGTTAAACAATTAGATGTTATTACGTTTGACGCCATAATCGTGCGAAAGATTTTAAAGAATCATCACATTTTATTTTATTAATAACTGTACGTGGAACACGTATCGCTGTGTAGTCTGAAATTATTTACATATCTCAGATCAATATTCATTGTGATGGCATGGAGCATAATAAAACATGACAAGTATGAAATAAATCATTTAATCTTTTGTTTTACAAATCTTGTTCTCATTTGGCTTATAACAAGTCCAGTCGCAGCAAATAAAGAAGCAACGAAATACATATAGGAAATACCTAAGTACTGAATAATTAATCCTCCTATAATAGGTGTGACGATGTAAGCTATAGAACTGGCGCTGTACAAAGCGCCTATTAAGGTACCACGATTACTAGGTGAACTCCTGCTCATAACTACTGCCAAAGTTACTATTCTTGCTAAAGCAAAGGACACTGCCTTAGGGACTAACAATAAAACATACAAAGGAAAACTAGAAACCATTCCTAAGGCTACTAAAGTCAACACAATACCAAGAAACGTATGGAAAACACGTTGACTGTAATCCCTATCATTAATATACAATTTATTAATAAAAGCTACTGAGTTATTCACGATGGATGCGATTATAGCTTCAAAAAGTAAGATACAGACGATTGAAACATTCGATATATCGTATTCAGTCTTCAAATATATACGGAAATTATTATAATAAAGTCCCGTAGAAATAGACATGAGAAGTTTAAATAACAGTATGTCCCATAAACTAAGCCAGTTTACGTTATACAGAGTGTTACAAGTGTGTTTGTATGTAGTAACTACAGATGCTATTGGTGAAGATTTTCTTTCACTTGTATCTGGTTTTTCTTCTTCTTTTGTTTTAGTTTCTGGTAAAGCATTAATTAGAGCTGCAACAATAAGAATTAAATTGTTAGACGTTTCTTTTTATAGCTTTTTTTTATTTATTTTTTTGCTTTAGGCAACAAATGCTCAATATTAATATTGTTGCTGACAATTTATTTGTAAATTTCGCAATGCACAGTTTCATTATCTTATTATACGAAGATGATTTATTGAACGTATTTTAATTTCAGTCGATAACAGCATTGATATTAATTGTTATTATGAATGTGCATTCGATATGGTAATTGTCCATTTATTAATCTTAACTCATACCTGCATTAATTCCAAAGAATATGGATAAAACTCCACACATGAATGTGAAACCACTTCTGGGGTATGTTTCAATGGGGTAGCTGCTAAGAAAGGAGCCAAGGGTTTGTCCAAATGATCCCAATGATAATAATTTTCCATACAAAATGGATACTTTGCTCGGTTCATGTATGTACTCCGGGGCTAAAGCTCTTGTTAGTATCTGAGTTTGCTTGAATATTCCTGAAACAATTTGTACGAGAGTATTATAAAGATTTAAATAATTTTTGAAATTGTACCTGGTACATGGTAATAGGTTTGCAGGTCCGTAGGTCCTGGTACATGGTAATTTTTTATGGCATAAGCGGGTAAACGAGCAGACAAATCACCTGATGGTAACCAATCAGAGTCGCCTATGGACTCACTCACACGACGTGAAACAACGTTGTTTCACGTCGGTTATTACTTGGCACTCGTAACATAACTTAGACTAATTTCAGTTAAAATTGCACATCATCATGTGCATAAATATTTACATTTCGACATCTTCTGGCTAAACTAGGAAATCTACTTATAGTCTATGTAAAAAAAATCTTACCTAAAACAATACGTAGACTTAAGAAAACATACAGAGATGACGCGATTCCCAACCAGAAATATGCGCAGGAGCAAATAAATATACATATTAATAATAGTTGTTTTCGGCTCGTGACGTCACCCAGGCTTCCCTGAAAATATTATAAACAGTTCACTGCCTCATTGTCACAGACTGCCTCATTGTCCGAGTGGTCGCAAGTGCGACTGCCTGGCAAGGGGTCTCGGGTTCGATTCCCGGGTCGGGCAAAGTATTACTGGGTTTTTCAAAAAATTCCCAGTAGTAGTACGGAGTCTGGAATTGTGCCCGGTACATGGTAATAGGCTCACCCCCTATTACATGGGACTCATAACATAAATAGTGAAAAGTGGATGTTACTTTTTACAGTGGCATAATGTACACCTCTGCCTACCCCTTCGGGGATAAAAGGCGTGATGTTATGTTATGTTATTAATAATAGTTGTTTTCGGCTCGTGACGTCCCCCAGGCTTCCCTGAAAATATTGTAAACAGTTCACTGCTGAACTATGAGCCTCCTCTACATACTAATGATTTATTAGGGTATATACATAAAAATGTATAGGAATCTCTAGTTTTCTATACGCTCTTTAGTTTTTTGGTTCAGGTTTATCAGAGAGCGCTGCAAAGTTATGGTATTGTTAACAAATTTCGTTTGAAGCAGATTGAACCTAGAGAGCGCCCTAAAAAATCATTTCATAGGTGCCCCTAATTTTCTTTGGCGTCTTTCTGTAACATGGCGCCCTAGGCAAGCGCCTAGTTTGCCTTACGGATCATACGGCTCAGTCATCAGTACTTAGGTTCAGGTTTATCAGAAAGCGCCGCACATCTAACGAAACACTATTATTTTTAAGAGTAACCAATTTCGTTTGAATCTCTACTTACTATAACGGGTGATGATACAATTTGACATAGTGGATAAACAACCCACACTAGTCCAGTCTGAATATAACTGAAACCTAACTCCTTAACGTGAATATCCAGGTACGGTACTATGAAGGAAACTGAAACGAGATCCTGAAATAAAACATAATTGTATTGAGTATTTACTGTAAAAACTGTTGTTCTACAACTGTTCCTAAGTATTAGGTATATTATATTAGTTGAATATTACAATCTTTATGGTGTTAAATTTTTATCTATATTAAGTTTAAATTCAAACAAAATCACTTGAATGCATAGTGTGTACAGGCTGGGTTTACAATTGGGTATTTAAGACTATTTAACCACTCCGGAGCAGGTCTCTTCAGAGGACCCGGTGCCCTTTACAGGTGCTGAGGGTGGCCACCGGGGTGGTTTTAGTGAGATAAGAATCCCACACTCCCTAGTCTTTCTCCCCAAAAAGCTAGGCGACTTCCCCTGAAGGTTTCCCCCCAACATAAAAAAAGACTATTTAACCAAATTGGGTACTAGCCAACTAGTCAAATTCAATACTTTTTTCAAACTGTCATAAACAGTTTTCTATGAATTTTGTACAAGATTATGTAAGTGACGTCACGTTTTTTTAGCTTCTTAAATCATACTTATTTCTTAAAAATTTGCTGGAAAAGAGCTAAAATCAAGTTGATCATAAAATCAATTAAAGAAAGCGTGATTCTTTTTTAATATGTTATTGTAATTAATAGTCGAAATAATTTATTTTTGATAAAGGAAAGTACCCAATTTTTTGACATAATATCATCCAACTGTAGGCCTTGTTCAATTTCTTCGCTGCATCAGTACATACAAACGAAATAAATGTTTCCAATCGTAAATGAATTTAGAGTTATGTTTATAACCAAAAAAATCTAATAACAAATAACTTACCAAGAAACAGACAAGAAGAAACGTCGCATACGGTGAAACCATTTTAACATTATATTCACATTAACACTTGTTTTTCATCGCAAACATAATTATTATGTATCTATTTTTATTTCCCACTCATGAGACTTACATGCTTCAGTATTTGTTATATATTTCAGACACATGTCGTGAAATCATGACGATAACACACGTAATCTTGAAATTTAATGATAGGTGTTATCACTTCATTATACAATACTGATGAATGAGACTGCGACGCATGCGCGCGACGACTTTAGTTTGTATGTGTAAACATTACTATAAAAATCATTTCAGTAAGTAAAAAATAAATGTTAATTAATGTGAGTGGAGAAAAATAAGTAATTATTAATTTAGAACTCTTTGACTGTCGGTTTATAAGTGTTGAAGGCAATTCATCCCCTGATTATGCACCCGGCACCACATAGGTATGCCGTGCACAAGACAATTTGGTACTTGCCTACTAGTCAAATTCAATACTTTTTTCGAACTCTCAAAAGTCAAAAACGACAGTTTTCTATAAAATTGGTCACGTTTTTAAAGCGTCAAACAGCATACTTATTTCTTAAAAAAACTGCTAGAAAAATACTAAAATTAAGTTGGTTGGTAAAATTTTATTGTATTGAACAATCGAAATAATTTATTTTTGATTAAGGAAAGTACCTTATTGAAGGGTTAAATAGAGGTATAACCATTTACAAAGGTGGAAGAATCCAATACTTTCTGTGATATTTTCTTTAAAACATATTGTAGGTGATGGGTAAAATTAACAAAAGTTTGATAGATAATTTAATTGGCTACAGGCTCACCCTCTATTACATAGGGCTCATAACATAAATAGTGAAAAGTGGGTGTTACATTGTACAGTGGCATTAAGTGTCGTAATGTGCACCTCTGCCTACCCCTTCGGTGATAAAAAGGCGGGATGTTATATATTATAATTGAAACCAATGTAGGTATGGCTTCTCACTGATCCCACGGTATGGTTATTGAACTGCTCCCATATTGCGGGTCATTCTTATTGCATTTCTAATAACCTGCTACGAGTGCAGCGGTCACGGTTCACGATTTAATTGTTTTTGTATTGTCTTTATGTGTAACACAGTAAGGTGGAAAAACCAGTCTAAACTGACCGTAGAATATGCGGAAAGTTCATACAAAGCGAGGCCATAATAAATTGGTTTTGTTTAGCTTGATGTGTACTCTAAGACACAGGTGTACAGGAGTGTTACGATCGTTAATAATTTAAAAAGTGGGAATTTTTATATTCACACCAAGGATTAACCTCTTGTCTGTTGGCTCGCAGATCTATGTGAGACAATGTGTTTTCGATTGTGTCTCATATATCGACAGACTCGGTTAGGTAAAACAATTCCTTAGTTTTTGATTCGATTTTTTACCGGTTGAGAGGAAATTACTCCAGGTTTTATATTGTAACTAGCTTCTGCCCGCGACTTCGTACGCGCGCTCCCGACTCTCCCATTCCCGTAGGATTTTCAGGACTTTTTTCTATCATAAGAACCTTCTCAGGACGATAACAAACATAAAAAAAAAAATTGTTATATGTAAGGCGTGACAATAGGAAACGGGTTTCATTTCTATATAATTAATATAGATTTTGTAATTTGACCTATCTAATAATTTTAGAAGACGTTATGCTGATGTTACAAAAGAAATATTCAAAGATAATACAAGTCTTCAAACTTTCCAATAAAGAAATCATAGTTTACCTATTTTCAGGCGAAACCTTATGGGTTCCCATACTTCCCATACACAAATTACTTCGAACACATAAATTACATACTCCCATATATTAATTAAATACCACTACGAGATAACTCCGTCACGAGATCCAATTTCGTCATCATTTTTGGTCAAAAAGCATCATCGTGGGTGTCCGGAAATGGGATTCGAATCCAGAACTCCGACTGTAATGTTCGACTTCCGATAATTTGTTCCATCTACGAAATAAAACGGGAACATGAAGATCTAATACGAAAATAATTAGAAAATGATCCAAACGTCAGTTGTTTCATTGTTGTCATTACTAATTGTAATGGATTGTGAGAAATATTTGTGTGCAAAGGAATATGAACGCTTATCGTTATCTGTTTCATTGTAGTTAAGATATGCTTTTCCTTGCAGGTGTTTTGATTGGAACGATAAATTTAGATGGTGCTATTAAATAATTTCTTAGTAAAGTGACTTATGTTAATTTGACACCGATTTATACTTCGCATGCTTACCCGGGATAAAAACAACCCTGTGTCTTATTCTAGACTATATAATCTATCTCTGTACTAAATTTTATAAAAATCCGTAATAGTTTTCACCAATTCAAGAAGCTGACGGCCAACCTACAGAAAAGTTGTGACTACAAGAAGAAATTTTTGTTAAAGAATGATCGTAGAGTAGAAAAGGATTCTGAATGTGCATGTTAATGAAAAAAACACTCAATAAAACTGAAGCTATCGTTTCTTTATTCGATTGTCAATATATACTAGCTTCACAAACCGATTGATCCCACCGTTGAACCCTAGTTAAGGCGCATTAGTCGGTCCGTTGATCGTTTGGACACACTTGCACGTCAATAGAGTCTGTCGTACGACACTATGCTTCACTGATTACACTTCTTTACTACTATTGTTGTTTAGTTACAGTTATTTTTGTTGTATTTATATGAACATAGTTTGCATATATAAAATGTTAGGAGCCCTAGCTAGGCTCTGATATCTGCAAAATGGTTGAATGCATGAGTTGAAGATCGTGGACAATGGGCGCTGTCCTGCAGTGAACGTATATGCTCTGATAAAAATTAAACAAAGGGTGTGAAAGTTATGTAGGTTTGATTTTTTCTCTATTGTATTATCGTCCACTAAGCAGTTGTGTCTAGCGAACTATAATCTACCTATTTATTATAATAAATAATAATAAAAGCCTTTATTCAGATAAAGATAAGAACAACAGAACAATTTTACAAACTGGACTTAATTTAACGTCTCAGCTTAATTGATGGCATTGACATCTTCATCTGTTTGCCCAGCTTTGGCAAAGGCCTCCTCCATTTTTTTCCATTCTGCTCGATTTAGAGCTTTTCTTGTCCATGTTTTTCCCGCTGTCGCCTTTATTTCGTCTTCCCACCTTCTAATCTGTCGGCCACGTTTTCTTTTCTTGTCTCTAGGATACCAATACACTATGTTTCGGTTCCACTTTGCGATGCCTCTAATCATATGCCCCGTCCATTGCCATTTAAGTTTCCGTACTCTAGTTGTGACATTTTGTATTTTAGTGCGGTTTCTGATGGTTTTGTTACGTACTCTGTCCGATTTCCTCAAATTTAGCATGCTTCTCTCCATCGCTGTCTGGCAAGTTTCCAGTTTTTTGGTTAGCGCTTTAGTGAGAGCCCAGGTTTGGCAGCCATAGGTTAGGACAGGTAGTACGCAGGTATTGTAAAGTTTTGATTTGACAGACATCTTGATTTCTTTGTTCTTCATTATCTCTTTTAGTCGCCAGTAACATCTCCATGCGTTTCCAACTCTTGTATCAATTTCTTTTGACATTATATCACTCATTGAAATTTTTTGGCCTAAGTAAGTATATTCTTTGACATACTCGATTGGTACGCCGTTAATGATGATTGACTCTTCAGCCGCATTCGTTAGAGCTTTTGTTTTGGAAGTGTTCATCGTTAGGCCTACCTTGCGGCTTTCTCTTTCCAAGTCCAGAATCATAACTTGTAGCTGTTCCCTTGTTTCTGCGAATAATACAATGTCATCAGCAAATCGCAAGTGTGACAGTCTTTCTCCGTTTATATTTAGACCATAGTTATTCCAACTTAACTGCCGGAATATACCTTCTAAAACGGCTGTGAATAATTTAGGTGACAATGGGTCTCCTTGTCTCACCCCCCTGTTTATTTTTATTTCCTTCCCTTCCTTTTCCAACTTGATTTTAGCTGTACTGTTGGTATATACGTTTTTAATTATTCTTATATACTTTTGTTCGACCCCTTGGTTTTTAAGACAGTACCAGATATTCTCGTGCTCAATTGTGTCGAATGCCTTGTTATAGTCGATAAAACAACAGTACAGCGGCACATTAAACTCTCTACTCTTCTCAATTACTTGTCTCACTGTATGTATATGGTCTAAGGTTGAATAACCTGCCCTGAAGCCCGCCTGTTCTCTTGGCTGGTTCTCGTCTAGAGTTCTTGTTATTCTGGCTAATATTATTTTGGCGAAGACTTTATAAACGTTGGACATTAGACTAATGGGCCTGTAGTTATTTATTTCAGCCTTGTCCCCCTTTTTGTGGAGCAGAATGACGGTTGAAGAGGTCCACTGTGACGGAATTGATTCAGTGTTCAGAATTTCATTGAAAATATATGTTAGCAATGGTGTAATGTAATTTCTGCCAACCAAAAGTAATTCATTGTCGATCTGGTCGGGGCCGGGAGCTTTGTCGGTTTTTTGTGTTTTGATTGCCTTATGTACTTCTTCTTCTAGTATGAGTGGGACTTCTTCGTGGTTGTTTAGTTCAGTATTATCCATAAAGTTCTTGCTGGAATACAGGTCTTTATAGAAGTTTGTAGCTATTGATAGGATATCAACCCTCTTGGTTGTAGTCTCACCATGTCGGTTTTTCACATTAGCTATCCAGTTGGTTTTATCTGACAAAACTTTAACGGCCTTTTTGATTCCCCCTGTATTCTTGATGAACTTTTCGAAGGTTTCAAGTCTATTGTGTTCTCTATCTTTACGTATTTGTAGTTTTATTTGTTTACTCAGTTCTCCTATTTCGGCTCTGATATTTTTTGTTTTATTTGTTAGTTTAATTAGTTCTGATCTTTTTTCTAGTAATTTTCTTGTGGTTTCTGATATATTTTTGTTATTTTTAGATACGTCCTCAATATGTGTTTTATGTCCTGTTGTTAATATTTCATGTATTGCGTTATATTTTTGTTGGGTGTTTAAGTTTTTAAGAGAACATATTGTCACTGAGGTGAGATTCTCCTTTACGGTGGCTACTTTTACTTTGATGTGTGGTAATGCTGTTTTTGCTTTGAAAGGTCGGTTTGATTTTAGAGCAGATGATATATTCAGACATGTTCTAAGCATTCTATGGTTGCTGTTGTAATTTAGATTTGCGATTGTGCCACAGTC